CTTCTGAGGTCTTAACACTGTGAGGCTGAAACAGATCAAGGAAGAACTCTCACATCTAGGGAGAATGAAACTCTTAAGGGAGATGGATTGCAGTTAGACAGTCTGTGTCCCTGCATCTGTAGACTCCTGGTCTTGTCCAAAGAAACTAATATGTGTGTGTGTGTGTGTGTATACACACACATATATATATATACACACACACACACACACACACACACAACTCAGGCAGCCAGACCCATCACTTCTGTTGCAAACACTACTTTAGCTCTGCTTCTGCGTTTTTCCTTAGCCAGCTACATCCTTTTAAGGCATTAGGAATTAATTAAATCTCTAACAGCTGGCTATGTCTGGTGAGACCTATACCCATCCCTTTGTTTCTGTAAACCTTAGTTGGAAGTGATACTAGATTTGCTGCTGTGTCAGTTACATTATAAGGCATCAGCCAAATCTTCAGCAGTGTGCATCTAGCTCAACCATTCCTGAACTAGAGATCTCCTCTAGTTGTTTGTCCAGATCTGAACTGTCCTGAGTTTTTTATATTTAGATCAATTCATATGATAATACTGATGTTACATTTGCTAGTTTGGATTTATGGTGTTATAACTATTGTATCTATGCCTGGAAAAATCTAGTAAAGGTCTAGATGCACAGAAGATGAACTGAGATAGCCTTATCTTCTGTTTTCATGTGTTCCCATTTTAAAAACATTTTATTTTCAAGGCCACAGAACCGATTCGGGCACTTGACTTAACTGAATGCTCAGCTGTGCAATTTGACTATTCCCAGGAAAGAGTCAATTGTTTCTGGTAAGCAGCAGTACTTTGTTCATCTTGCTGGGAAGGTCAAAATAGAAAGGGAAGTTAGAAATGTAAACACTGAGTGCTTCTGAAAGGTCCCTTGTTGGTTGTGACCCTACTGATCCTCTAAGTCATGAGTCTCTTTCTGTCAGCCAACCTCAGTCCTGCATGGTTTGCCAAATTACTGCTGGCAAAAGGTGGGCCTATGTGTAGTGGGCATTTCTTTTTCTAATTCTGTAAGCCTGTATAACCATCTCCTAGACCCATGGATCTTGGGTTCAGACATTACTGCAGGTCACATGGTAATCACTTCTGTGCCCAGACAAGGGTCTTTTATCCCCATGGACCTTGTACAGCATCTCCCTGAGCTGTAAATGACTGTCAGCCATTCCTGGTTAACCTCCCTCCTGATGACTAAGTGGGAGCACAGCCTTCCTGCCTGGCTCTGTCTGACCAACTGTTGCTGCAGGCCAGCTGGGCTCAGTTTTAGGAAAAACTCCCAGTTGTTCTAGCAATCTAAGAAATTTCTGTTTACTTACAGTTTAGTGTTCCCACTAAGGACATACTACCTGTGCGCAAAAACTGGAATAGAAGCTGATGAGTGGATTAAAATACTGCGATGGAAACTGGTAAGGGATGTGCAGTTACATGGCAGGATGGCTCAGGCAGCAGCACCCTTGGAACTGCCAATCATAAACCCCCCAGTACTGTAGCACCCAAGTATTACAGTTCTCAGCACCTGCAAGAGGGGAATATTTGTTCTGGCTTCCAGGCCAGCTAGACTGGAATGTGTAGTTTTCACATAATCACAAAATCAATTAGATTGGAAAAGACCTCTGAGATCATTGAGTCCAACCTTTGACAAATGGCCACCTTGTCAACTAGACCATGGCATCGAGTACCACATCCAGTCTTTTCTTAAATATCTCCAGGGATGGTGCCTCCGCCACCTCCTTGGGCAGCCCATTCCAATATCTTTTCAACCTTTTTGTGAAGAAATTCCTCCTAATGTCCAACCTAAACCTCCTCTGGTGCAGCTTGAGGCCATTTCTTCTTGTCTGTCACTAGTTGCCTGGGAGAAGAGGCCAACCCCCACCTTTCTACAACCTCCTTTCAGGTAGTTGTAGAGAGCAGTAAAGGTCTCCCCTGAGCCTCTTCTTCTCCAGACTGAACACGCCCAGCTCCCTCAGCAGCTCCTCGTAAGACTTGTGCTCCAGACCCTTCACGAGCTCCGTTGCCCTTCTCTGATGGACTCACTTCAGCACCTCAATGATCTCCCTGAATAGAGGGGCCCAGAACTGGACACAGCACTTGAGGTGTGGCCTCACCAGTGCTGAGTACAGGGGGAAGCGCCAAGTACAGGGGCACAATGTATATGCTTGCAAACCCACTGTCATGTTTTTAGGATGCAACTTTTAATATGCATGCTCATTAGGAAGAAAAAATTACTTCCATCTTTAAGGATGTCATTATGTGGTTGGTAAACATTATGGATCATCAGCACAGACCACACATGTTGGGTCATGAGAAGAAAATGTAAAGGCTTGAAAGCGCTACTTCCTAAGAAATATCAGTAATCGGGTTGGTCATACTCACCCACATCCGCACACGTGCCGACAAACAGTAATGGATTGTCTTTCTGTTCCAGTCACAAATACGGAAGCAGCTGGAGGAGCGCAACGCCACCCTCAGTTCCTAGGTGTGCCGCCAGCACTGCTCCGTTGGCAGGAATTGCCTCTCTGCCAAGGGAAGGTAGTGCTTACTAGAAGACAGTTTCACATCTCACAGTGGGTGTGTGCCTGCCTGTGCGCCCGCACACAGACCTTCACCCAGCTCTGCACACAAAGGATCCCCAAAGCCGAGCGCTCCCCGGCTGCGGAATCACGCATGGAGACTGCTGCAAAACCAGTGTTGGTTTGATATGGTGTGTGCCTGTAATGCACTTAATTCAAACACCTGTTAACTCATCACAGAAGTAGTCAGTGTTGAAAACTTTTGTGGTTATTCAGAGCACTCTTGATAATTTATTGCAAGCTCCATCACAACTAACCATCAGTATCACATTCTGTAACCTTGAGCCTGTTATTTAAAACGAGTCATTCCTGGAAACATTAAATATCTCTAGTTTATTACCTATTTAGGCTTTAAACCAAAAGAAAAGTGACAGAGGTAATTACATTTTTGTAAATAGTATCTATGTTGTAATCCAGAGAATATTTCAAGGCCCTTTTCAAAGTGACAGATGACTTAGTTCTGGTCAGATATGTTTTTATATGGTTTAGATTTATACCACAGTGATGGCTACAAGTGAATGCTTGTTTCAAATAGGTAATGGTGAGCAGCATCATGTAGGCACGCTTGTTTACAAACCAGGGTTATAAGAAACAGGAAGCTGTTTCCGGGCAGTCACAGGACAGAGGTGCCACAGGACCCCAAGGCTGGGTGACAGGGCTCTGCAGAAAAGCTTTGCCTGTAGCAGCCACCAGCGTTGTTAGCAGCATTTCGAGTCAGGCTTATTACAGTCCCCCTTGAAAATGCACCAGGCTGTGTTTTTTTCATCACGACAAAATGCACCAGATTTTGTTGGGTTTTTTCCTCACACAGAGAACTCAAAACAAGATTTTGACCAGAACTGTGTTTATAATTAAGCACTGCTTGCTTTATATTGAACAAGGAGCACCATGTATGCTAAAAATACAAATTTAACAGAGTACATCTTCTACATAACCTGATATAAATTTACATCTGTATTGTGCAAGACTCATATACATTTAACAGTGTTGTGGCTCACTACAGGGACAAAAAGTGGAAGCCCAGGACTTTGGTGCTGTACTCAGATATTACCTTTTTGAAGAAAAGCTTGACACACTGGAGAGGCCTGAGACCACTTGGTCTGACATCATTGGCTGACCCAGCTGCAAGATTCCCTGAGCAATCCTGAGTCTCCTGGAGGGGTAGGGAAAGAGCAGGGCGGCCCTGTCTCCCTGCATAACAGTCAAATTTATGCTGCAACAGCACACACAAACCTCCCACTGTGCAAACACTGCAGTCTGTGTTGAGCATTGCTCACGCAGCAGGTCAGTGTTAGGTAACTGCCTTTACTGTGAGAAGACTGCAGAAGAGGAAGATTAAAACACACTGGAAGAAAGAAAATCTAGATTTGGACATAGGAATAGCATTTTATTGCAACTTAGAAATTCAAAATACTTGTAAATATTTTTATACAGAGTGTTTTCTGAATAAAATGTCATTATAAAACTAGCACAGGTATTTGTCTTCCTGTACTGTATTGTTAAAGCTTTGTTCTCCTTTTTCCCTTAAAGAAGTGGTTTAAGAAACCAGCATCTCCCATTTAGCTTGAAAACCTTTGCTGAGTCTGTGTGAGAGAGAGGCAGCGTAAGAGGAAGAGAGAGATGATTTTCTCCAGCAGCATCACTGTTCTGGGAAAATGGCTTGGAAATGGAGTTTGACGTGTAACCACAAAACCAGCCTTCCCTTTTTCACACGGACAGCTGCTTTACAAAACATTAGAAACACATTCAGCACATGGGTGTCACAAACTGAAGCCAGTAAAAGAAACAGCACTCAGCTAGCCTTGGAAGCCACCACAGGCAGATGAACAGCAGGAGTAGGCCTTCAATGGAACACAAATGCACTTTGCCAGAAATACACAGAGACACCCTGGGGCTCAATTTCCAGCTGCTTCTGCAAAGATCAGCAACAAAAGTCTCATTGCAGCTCAGTTTAAATGGCAAAGGGTTGACTGACAATCTGTAGTCTCTGGGAGAGCTTCTGAGCCAAGAGTTCCCAGTGCTCATTTCCAGCTCCACCATTTCCCCCTATCATGCCTGATGCTGCAGGTCCACAAGATGTAAACAAGGGGCTGTGGCACCCCCTTTCCCAGCCTGAGGTAGAGACTTGTCCAGAGCTCTCCCTCAGACCTGCAGTGCTTGGCAGTTGTCACAAGAGGAATGTGGGAGGGAACAAGGGGGTGGCAAAGAGCACAGGATTGATCCCCACCAACAGGATCTCTGCACTGGCACAGGACTGTATCTTTACTGCCCAAGTGAGAGACATCCGGGTTAGTTTTCAACCTGTAAACTTCTAGATTTTGTGCATTTACAATCAAGAGACCTGTTCTCAGCACAGGAAAGCTGACGTGCTGTGGGGTATTATGGTGCAACAGAAGAGTGGACCAGGCTCTGTCATTTAAAAATACTGTATTTTATTTATATTTACTTATGAAAACCTAAGAGTAAATGAGCTGAGAGTGTCACCAGTGATGAAGCCACACAAAGACTGAGACATGAGATCTTCACAACCATATTACACAAAAAAACCTGTGAAGAAGTGAGACATGGTTTGGGTGCTTTCAGCTGGGCATCAGGAAACCTCCTAAAGCGACAGCTTCCATAGAAACAGCTTTCTTCTTAGTGGAAGCAGGATGCAGCTAGCATCCAGATTAGTAGCACACCCTTGCCAAAGCATCACCCATGTAAGAAAGCCAAGATATTTATTGATTGTACCGACACATCACTGCTAATAAACCTGCTCTCCCAATATGCTTTCAACCATGTCCTTGATCACACTACACAACTGATCTGCTCTCCACCATGTAGCAGTGGCCGGCCTGAGGATACACCCTGCTGTGTGCCTGGTTCCCTGTAAAGCAAAGGATCTGTGGGTTGCTTGTCTGAGCCAACAGCGTTGTGCCGATCTGGCTCAGCTAAACTCCATGGGAGCTATTTTGGTGGTCTCTCCAGTACTGCACAATACAAGAAGCACGGCCTAAAGTAACATCCACCTACAACACACTAGTAGATCATTTCAGATTCAGTACTATGTACAATTTACTCTTACTTAGTATACTAAGGAGCTGTGATATTTCTTCTGAGACGTGTTATTTGACTGATGATTATTGAATCCTTCTGTCCACTGGGCTGCAGAGGAATGCTGCACTCTGGCTATACCATTAGGTTAAGAAACTTCAACAACCTGCCTCAGTTCTTCAAACAGGGGCGTGAGCTCCTTCTCTAAACTTACAATCAGCCCTGGAAAGAGAAAAGAGACAGAACATTCCATCAGACAACATCACTGAGAAGCCTCTCTCTAAAGCCTGCAGCTCCCTCCCCCTCCCAAGTCAAAGGCAGTGTTTTTCAAAACATGAAATGTTTTACTTGAGCTGTTCACCCTCCATGGGAACAGTGTGCAGCACCTCCAGGCAGGAGGCCTGCAGCCCCCACCACTAGCAGAGGCACACCCCACACAGTGCAGCTCTCCCCCACTATCACCTTGCTGCTTCCCACAGCTACCAGGGCCCAAACAGCTGTGCCAAAATCCAGTGCCTTCTGCTCATATTCATCAGCCAGTGCCATCATGAGCAAAGCCAGGTGCCTGGCTGAAGGAATTCCCCACCCCACAGAACTGAGAAGACACAGCTGCACATTACTGCAAAATGTTAACCTGGAACTGACAGAAAGAGACCGAACAACTGGTTTGTACAGCACAGTAATTGCCAGGATAGCAAACACTCTCAGGTAGCAAGAGTAAGGTTAGTCACAGGAGAAACATGCTTCTAGAAGAATAACTTCAGCAAGTCACCTAAAATCTCTGAATTTTTACTCACACCTTTCCCTTCTCACCTTCACAATATGCCGACAAAATTCACAGCAGGAGCAAAGTTATTACAGTTTGAAGTGAATTCAGGTAATTTATTTTCAATTACTTAAATACCTGGGCCTTAAAAGACTGCAATATTTAAAATGCACGTGAAGACATACCGGTATTGGCATTGCTGCTAGCAATGAAACTCACTACCAAAGGCAAGCGATTGAACTGCACCACCTGCAAGGAGAGAGAACAGTGCTCAGACAGAAGCTAACGCATGTTGGATGTTGGAGCTCTGATACAAATTCTTTTGGAAAAAAGCAGCCTTCTCAGTTCAAAGGACAAGCAGGAGTGAGAGCCACAGGGATGACTTTTCAGTTTATCTGTTTCTCAAGATTAATGGTTAAAAACACCAACAGAACTTACACCACAGTACAGGGAGCTGCATGGGAAAAGCCTTCCCTCCCCCTCCATGTTCTACAGTGTGTTGTCCACCAGAAACCCAATTCAGCTGCAAATGCTGCAGAGTACACCATGGAGGCCACACTCTCCAGAGGAAACAAGAGGGCAGGTAGCTTTATCATTTTAAAATACTGTTCCCTATACAGAAGTATCTCTTCTTCCATTAATAGGGAAGTGGAACCTTGGGCATAACAATAAGCTACAGCATCAAGAGAATCAAAGCAGTGTACTCCATGTGTGTAAAATAAGTCATTGACCCATTTATTATCCAAACAAAGCTTGATACACTGTAGGCTAAACTGTTTGTCAGTTTACTGCAGTCATAACAAAAAGCTCTCAGGACCACTAGAATTTGAGAAGGAGCAGAAACAAAGCAGGTGACGGATTATACAAATATCAGTTTGTGAACAATGTGAGTGGTATTTCAAAACTTTCTCACCTCAAAGTCACACTGGTAGCAAGATTAGCCATGAAGTAGGCTGCATGTACTTAATTAACTTTAGGTGTCACTAATTATAAACAAATATTGTTTATAAAGAGAACATAAACCCTTCATAACATATTCTGAAGGCCATGAGTAGTATCTGCTGCAAATTCATGATTACTACCTGTACAGAAAACTTTCCCATTTTCAGTGAGTAAATCTCAGTTTTGAGAAATATAAGAGAAGTTTAATAAATAGTGTGAAAGTTTGGCTTACCCATTTAAACGGAATAAGAAATAAACTGCAATTACTTCAACAGCAGCCAAATAGATACAAAAGATTAAAACACTCTCTCTCTCTTGCTCAATGTAATATAGAAACAGCTCAGGTCACTGAGGACAAAGCACACTCAGGTTACTCACCTGGTACGTATTGTAGTAGCAGATGATACTTTTGTTTTTAGAAAGTCCTAATTTACTGCCCTGATCTGTGGCAAGGGCAAAGGTGGACAGAAAGCCAGGTCGCAGTGCATGTTCTGGAGCATTATCATTGGCAACTAGAACAAAACGAGAAAATTCTTATCTTTACATGGCATCTCTGACTGCATGCCAAGCCCTTAACCAGCACAGTGCTCTGCCAAATGCAGATCTGCTGTTGGGGAACACACAGCACATCTTAGGTGCTTCCACAATTAGCACAAGACAATCTTCATGAGCAATACATCCTTTAATGCTCTGTATGTGATGAAAGCTCATTACACCAAGTGTCCTTCCTGGTGTACCTAAGAAACAGTCTTTTCTTTTAGGATGCAGAGCCTGTGCTGATGCCCCTTGGGTTCTGTGTCCCTCACTGTCTGCACCCATTCCAGCCTTTGAATTGATTACTGCAACACAGTCACTTGACTGTGAACAGGTAAAGATGTGCGAGTTCTGCTGGGTGTTTAAATACTTTTGGGGATTAAAAAAAAAAAAATCTGCAGTACTCGAACCTCTGTATCTTTAAACTAGCATACTCACAACATAAAAGCATCTTGAACAAGAAATGCAGAAGATAAAAACTACAGTACCAAAAAGCAAACTAAACATATGTAACAGCTGGATGCAACTGTTTCTGAGCACAGACCAGCCCAGTCAACAAAATACTGCTAAGCTCTCTCTAGTACTCAGTATCAATCAGCCTGCGAGTGACTTGAAGATATAAGGACCTTATAGCATTGAAACTCCTTTGACCAAGGAAAACTTCCATGGACTGCAACTACTGAGGACACAAACAGATGCATTTAAAGAGGTACATAATCAATTACTGAACTTGAAATAAAAGTCAAATTTAATTCTTCCATTTGGTATATTCAGGTATTTGGCATAACCAGAGAAGATTTTGCTGTACTTCTCCACCCCCTGCTGTTCAATCACGATTTCAGCTGTAGGGTACAGCAAGAAGCTGAAGTTACCTTTGATAACAGGCACACCGTCTCTGTCTGAGACCACAATAGCATGAAGACCTTCAACACTGCAAAAAAGACAAAAGAAGGATGATGAAGAGAGACCATTTTAAAACCCCAGTAATTAGTAGCAAAGATTTTTTTTCTGAACAAATGTGCAAGGAACGGGGAAAACATGTTAAAAATCGATGCCTTCGGTAATTTAATGCTTGTTCTGTGTAGTTCAGACAGTACAGTTCTGGTGCTCCCAATAATATGCAGGATATGTAACTGCTGGAGCAAGCCCAGAGGAAGGCCACAAAGTTGATAAGGGGACTGGAGAAAGTTGGGGCTGTTCAGCCTGGAAAAGACAAGGTTGCGTGGAGACCTCACAGCAGCCCTCCAGTGTCTGAAGGAGGCCTACAGGGAAGCCAGAGAGAGACTCTTCATCAAGAACTGTAGCGACAAGACAAGGAGAAATGGGTACAACTTGGAAGAGGGAAGATTTAGGTTAGATATTACTAAGAAATTCTTTACTGGGAAGGTGGTGAGGCACTGGAACAGGTTGCCCAAGGAGGTTGTGCATGCCTCAGCCCTGGCAGTGTTCAAGGCTAGGCTGGATGAGGCTTTGAGCAGCCTGGTCTGGTGGGAGGTGTCCTTGCCCATAGCAAGGGGGGTTGGCATTAGATGGCCTTGGTCCCTCGCCCCGCAGAGACCCAGAGTTACCTCGGCAGCTTCTTGTACAGGAACCGCTTCAGGTCCTGCGGGCAGAGACGGGCACCGCGTTACTCACCCGCCCGGAGGGGGCGGGGGAGCCCCCGAGCTGCCTCCCCGCCCGACCCCAACATCCCCTCTCCCCGGCGCTGCCTCCCCGCCCGGCCCCGGACGGACCGGGCTCGATCCCCCCGACTCCCGGCCCCCGCCAAAAGCCTCCGCCCCCGTCCCGCCCGCCCCGAGGAGCCACACTCACGTCGGCCATGGCTGGGGCCCGCCCGGTGCTGCTGCCGCCGCCACCTCTGCGGGCCTGAGAGACGAGACGAGAAGGCGCCCGGTCAGCAGAGGCGCGGCCGCCGCCCCGAAGGAGGGGAGCGGCGAGAAAGAGGGAGGGCGCGCTCCCTCCCCGAGGCCCGGCCGGCCGCTCCCCCCCGCCCCGCTGCCGTGGTAGAGGCCGCTCCCACCCGCCCCAGGAGGGGAGCGCGGTTGGGCCGAGACCACCGCGCACCCGGGAGGGGTGTGTATGCGGAGGGGGGCAGGGGGGAGAGGTGCGGTGCGGCGTTACCCTGCCTGCCTTGTCTTGTCTTGTCTTGTCTTGCCCTGCCCGCCCTGCCATACCTGTCGGCGCCCCCGGCGCGCCCCGCTCGGCCCCGCCGCCGTTTCCCCTCGGAGCCGCTGTCACATGATGGGCGGTGCCGCCCTCCCAACCCCGGAACCGCTTCCCCGCCGCCTCCGCCCCGCCCCGGCAGCAAAACAAACGAAACCAAAACCAAACCCTAGGACTGCAGTTAAAGGAAAACAACAAAAAAGAAAAGTCCATTTCTGCCGAGTAGAGCCACTCCCAGTTTTACTCTTCATTTCCCCTACTTTTGGATCTAGTCTATCAAGCCTAGTCTTCTATTTAATCTTCAAAACCTGAAGGCTGATAATTTAACAGCTAACGTGAAGAATTAAAATAGATGAATCCAGTAGATGCCCACAGTGTAACAATAGTAATGGCACATCTGTTTTTAAAGTCTTGTATCAGAATCAAGGACCCTTCATGGTAGGTCCAAAAAAACCCCCCCAACCCTGCTCAGCCTGTAACAGTGCTTTTTCTCTAAAAAAAGAGCTGCTACAGGCCAAGCACAGAGTCACAGAACCAATTAGGTTGGAAAAGACCTCCGAGATCATCGAGTCCAACCTATGACCCAACACCACCCTGTCAACTAGACCATGGTACTGAGTGCCAGATCCAGTCTTTCCTTAGAACACCTCCAGGGGTGGTGACTCCACCACCACCTTGGGCAGCTCATTCTAATGTTTAATCATCCTTTCTATGAGGAAACTCCTCCTAATGCCCAAACTAAATCTTCCCTGATGCAGCTTGAGCCTGTGCCCTCTTGTCCTGTCACTAGTTACCTGGGAGAAGAGGCTGACCCCACCTGGCTACAACCTCCTTTCAAGTAGTTGTAGAAAGTGATAAGGTCACCCCTGCGCTTCCTCTTCTCCAGGCTAAACAACCCCAGCTCCCTCAGCCGCTCCTCATAGGACTTGTGCTCCAGAGCCTTCACCACTTTCATTGCCCTTCTCTGGACTCGCTCCAGCACCTCAATGTCCTTTCTGAATTGAGGGGCTCAGAACTGGATACACTCCTTGACGTGTGGCCTCACCAGTGCTGAGTGCATAGGGACAATCGCTTCCCTGGTCCTGCTGGCCACACTATTTCCTATACGAGCCAGGATGCCATTGGCCTTCTTGGCCACCTGGGCACACTGCAGGCTCATGTTCAGCTGCTGTTGCCCAGCACTCCCAGGTCCTTTTCTGCAGGGCAGTTTTCCAGGCACTCTGCTCCCAGCCTGCAGCACTGCATGGGGTTGTTGTTACCCAAGAGCAGCATCCAGCACTTGGCCTTGTAGAACCTCATCTGTTTGGCCCTGGCCCAGCAGTCCAGCCTGTCCAGATCCCTCTGCAGAGCCCTCCTATCCTCCAGCAGACTGACACACCCAACCAGTTTGGTGTCATCTGTGAATCTACTGAGGGTACACTCAATCCCCTCATCCAGATCATCAATAAAGACATTGGACAGGATGGGCCCAATACTGAGTCATGGGGGACACCACTAGTGACTAGAGCACTTACCTGAAGATTTTGTTTAGGTGCCAGTACTGAAGCATGAAACAAAATGAAAAAAAAGGTGCTCACATGGGAATTGCTGATGTTTCCTAAGGTATAGGTCCAGTGAAGTTTTTAAATCTCTTTTTAAGAAGCCCAAAACAGAGATAAGCCACTTTTTTGTAAGTAAGAGAGGAAAAGCTCGTTCAAAAAGACAAATTTATTTGAATACTGAGAATCCATACCTCCTTCTTAATCCAAGCCATGCAGACACAGCAATTTGATAAGGACTTGGTCATATCAGAGAGATACTTAAAAGAGAACCCCATAAAATTACCTTGTGTGAGCTTCTGGTAGTATTTTGAAAATGCTACCTGGGACAACCTTGGTCCCCTTGTTTATTAAAATATGCCCTACTATACACTAAAAATGTTTAAAAATGCAACTGGCTTTCTATGATTTGTAGGCATCATGCTCAGTGATGAATTTTACTTGGTTCTCTGTCACATTATGAATAAAAGCTATGCAAAAGCATCTGTGAGGTGGCTCCTGTATTGCTATTAATGGGAATTTAGTCTCCCATCCCAATGACAGCTTTTCTATACATGGAACAAACAAGAACTGAAGGAAAATGTATATTCGGCATGAAGGGTAACATTGTAACTAAACACTGCATTTTAATATTATTTCTAAAAATGGGGAGAAATCCAATACTCAAACCTAATTCCTGCTAGACTGAGAAGTCTCACAATTATCCTGGAGAAGTATGCATTAATATCTATTATTGATATTTTATTTCAAGTATTAAACCGATCTCATCTCAACCCACAGGTTTTACCTTCTTTTCAATTCTCCTCCCTGTCCCACTCTGGGGATGTGAGCCGGTGGCTACAAGGTGCTTATTGGATGGCTGAGGCCAAACCACAATAAATGGCCTATTTCTTTCCTATATGTATTACATTATATTACATGTTAAGTTATAGTTTCACAAATTCATATATTACCTGTTTCTTTAAAAACCAAATGTCTGCTTTTACAATTACACTTTCCTTCTGGTTTCTTTGACAGAGCTACAAGAGAGAATAACAATTTCTTAAGGAATGACTGAAACTTATGGAACATACAACCTTAAAATAATGTTCCTGCCCTCCCATTTTAATCTTTTTACAGCATTCATTACAAAATTATATTGAAAATTTTTATCATTTAAAGTTGTCTCTGCTACGTATTTAAATGCATCTGTTGCATTTTAGTGCTGTAATATTCTATGTTTTCTTGGAAACTTATTAAAGAATCAAGACTCTTTTTAAAAAAGTAAAAAATTCCAATTTAGACTTCTTATACCTAAACAGGGAACTTGTAGGGAAATGTTGATCCGATGTGAACACTGAACTCGCTTGTGACTCACAATGCTCCATAAATAGAACACGTACTGATGTTATGTTTCAGCAGATGCAAATCATCTCCCTTTCTCATTGCGCTGTGTCAAAGATTCATGCCAAGATTTTTCACTTTTTGCAGGACTTTCCTGCTTGCCCTTTTAAAGGAAAAAGTCAAGAACCCATGCTTGTGTTATCTTTAATAAAGAGTAAGGAATCAGTAGCTAAAAAAGTTGAGGGATTTTTAGCCAGGCTGTTCAAATACAGTTTTTTTTCTGAAGAAAGGTCATTAGAAAAGATTCGAGTACTCTGCTCTCTTCAATTTCAACCATGAGAAAATTAGTTCTGAACTTTTCAGCAGATTCCTTTAACAAAATCAGGGAAGATAATGACATTTCCAAAGAAAAAACTTTCAGACTTGAGGAAAAAAGTAACAATCAAGAGAAAAACACCATTTGGAATATTAAAAGAATGTTTGCAGGTCATATTTAGAGCAGTTTAATCTTTATACTGTCATAGCATCCTTTTGCACATTAGTGCATATTTCAAAGTGTGCAACTATTCAACCTGTTCAATACTGAGTAGCATTTTCCCACCAGTGTAAACATATCGTTTCCTTCTTTGAAAATGCCAACTGCAATAGACAGTCAGATGAAATGTAGCACTTTTAAACTACTGGGATGTCCGTGGTGCCATAGGACACAGCCGCTGCATTATTCCCTTCTGCTGAGCAATCTAACCAACCTCACACAGCTCAGCGTCTGTCCATTTACCTACTTCTCACCTGCAGCAGAAGAGGCTGCAGGGCAGACATAGCCCACAGTATTATTAGAGCCAGCTTTGCTAAGACCATCTCTTCACTCTGACTTCACTGTTCTGATATTTGACAAGTGTGTTATATATCCATTTTCCTATTAACTAAAATACCACCTGCAAGATCAGACTCATTTGTGAATGGGAAGGCCCAAGTACTTGTTAAAGCCTTCTGAACAATTTTCTTCTATTAAGAAGACACAGGAGTACCAGTATGTACTTTGATAGTTTGTTTTCATTAGTATAATTACAATACATTCTGGACATTTACAAAATCCAGGGAATCATGTTTTGTCCATAAATTTCTATTGCATATTTCAAACGTTTGGATGCCTTTGCATTACTTCTGCACCCTTTTACTATAGTCTTAGAAAGGACATCCAGTACAGCAACCCTTTTTTGTTGTTGTTGTTGTTTCTGCAACTTTTAGTTCTGCTTAGTTAAAAGCCTGCAGCTAGTCTCATGTCATACCAATTCAATAGAAGATATTTCTGCTGGGACAGTTTAGAAAAGGGATACATGCAAAATGATTTCTGGGTCACTTAGAGCAATCACATTTAGCATATCTGCAAAGTCATATCCTGCTCTAGATCAGGAGGAGTTGCAATGAAGTCAGTCAAAGTATTTAAACTTCCAGTTTTGGAGGAAAATTTGGCTCCACGTAAACTTACAGCATTGTTCAAAGATAGCAGTTTTCTCAAACAAAAAACACTGCCCATATTATGAGCTATCGGCATTCTCAAATACAAGAAACATTCCCCTGCATAACACTGTTAAAATGTAAAAAACATCAGCTACTGAACCTAAAAACATTTTCAACACACTTTGATAAACTTTAAGTACATTGTACTCAGCTGCTTCAGAACACCTCTTTGCATCAGCAGGTGTGGCAACATGTAGTTTCCACTTACACGCCACTGAGTTACATGATCTTGTGTGTAGGAGCCAAACAGTAGGTTTGCTCATTTCTAGGAAGTCAGTCCAGCAACATTCTGGTCCCAAAAAATGCATTCCCTGGTAGGCCTCTTCTGCCTCGGGACCAGTGACAGAGCTCTGGCCATAGGGGCACACTGCAAAGCAGCAAAGCATTTAAATAGTTGGCAAAAGGGTTGAAAGGCACATACCTTGTCCTTAGCAAAATTTCCCTGTTCCACTTGCAGTGCCCATTGAGGAATGAGTGTTGGGACCTAGCTTGAAATAAAAATGCAGCAAAAAAATGGAAGCCTGCCAGGAAAAAAAAATAGTTTTTTTTTTTAATATAGTTTTAAGATTTAACTGTTGCATGTTTTTCTCTGCCTTTCCAGTGAAAATTAAGGAAGCTACGGATGCATGTTAACCATATGTATGGATTTACTACTACCGGAATACCAAATGGTAGAGCAGCTGTGAACTG